CGCGTCTATTGCTGGTTGAAAACTATTTCCAAACCCCCTCATGGGCCTGGGTTCGGCCCCGGCCTTTGAGAATTTCTGGAAGGGCTCCCCAAGGGGTAAAGCCCTACAATTTTAAGTTAAATAGTTGCTATATTAATTTTTTGAAAGTTGTATTGTGCGCAAAATTGTCCACTTGCAGTCTGGAGAGTTTGTGTTATTTAACTGGTTAGGAGCTTTACCCACGGTAAGTTTGTCTAAGATTTCAATCTAAAAATAGCCAAAATTGATCAGTCAAAGATTTCTATTCCAAGAAAACCCAAACTCAATTAAAGATTAAAATCGAAAAAATTTTCAAATTCAAAATGTTTGGAATTAAAGATAATTCAAAACAATTTGAAACTCGTACTCGAAATTATTCAACTCCGAAAAATCAAAATTTAATTCGATTGGTACTCCGGAGTTTTGTTAACATGAGTACATCTTACATTAATTTTAAAAAGAAAACCTAAAAATAAATGTATCCGAATTACCTAAATTCAAAATAACTTGAATTTAAAATAGTTCAAAATGATTTTTTCCAAGAGAATACAATTCCCTCTATATTCTTAAGGAATTTTTGTTTCTTTATTTGGTTGTGAAATGCTCTTAAGGAACAATCATTTATCTGGAATGATTATCCCTAAAATCATCTAAAACGAAAAAATAGATAATATCAATTCCATAATATTAGCTATTTCATAGTTAAAGAATAACCTTCAAAAATGATAAAAATCAAAATGCTCTTTACAAGCCTGAAAATTTATCACTCTACTTATATAAAAATATTTTTCTTATTATAAAAAAGGAAAATGAAGAAAAATTAGAATAAAAAAATGTAATTATATATTATAAAAACAATCTTTTAAAATTTAATAATTAATTAAAATTATTAATATTTTAATCATAATAACATTTAAATTATAAATAAAAATATTAATGATAAAATTATAAAAAAAATGTTAATATTTAAATTATCAATTATTAACATTTAAAAATAAAATAAAATGAAAATAAATAATCATTTATTATATAATAAAAGATATTTTGTCTTTTTATACTTTTTTTCTTTATTATTTTAAAATTATTTTAACTAATCAAATATTATAATAAATCATAATAATAATTTTTGACTTATTCTCTTTGGTCAATCAAATTAAATAATAATATTTATATTTTATTCTTCTTTATTTCATTCTATTTTATAAATCAAACGTGTCATTCAAGATATCGATAGTTCTAGTCGACATATTTCACACAGTGGAGAAGATGTAAGCAGCCGACTCTTCTCAAGCTTATAACGAAGTATGTGAACCATTGTTCAAGCTACGAAGCTGTATGGGTAGCACATAGTGAACTATTCTTTCGCCTTCTACTAAAGAATGCCGTATGCTTGTCACTTTAAGCGGCATACGCCAATTTTTAGTGATTCTAGTTTTTCGAATATTTATATGCCAAGTAATCTTGGTTGAATGAGCATAGAATAATACACAAACAGGAGTATGTAGATCAAAAGCCTATGCCCATTCTAGGGGGCAATGCAATTAAATTGAGCATAAAGTCCACGTGAGAAAACATACTCCTGTAGTTTTTCTCAAAATATCTTCCAACTTCATAAGACATCCAACAACACTACTTAACAAATATGAATTGGTAGAAGAACAATGTTTCCTTCCTTTTAAAAAGAGGGAAATATAAAGAAGAAAGGAAAATATGTGGATTTGTACTTTTCCTTTTCTTTTCAAACGAGCTTATGCTAAACCTGTATTTACAACATTAATTTAACCTCTTTATTTCAATCCATTTTCCGTTTTCCATTTCAAAGGAAAAATAACTTTCTTTCTCCTTTTGTTTGTTTCGTTTCTCACGTCTTTTCCTTTCATTTAGTTTTCTTCTTCCCACCTGATATAGTGTAAGGGATGGATGTGGTGGTAATCCTTTCAATCCGGAAATTAATAGGACACAAATTAAACGGTTATCGGTAAAAGGAAAGGTGACGGATGAAGGTGGAAACAGCACGAGCGGACACAAGTGAATATTTCAAACGAAAAAATCAAAGTCCCACATCATGCACAGAAAGCAAGTAGCAGCTTCTCCTTAAGCTTATAAGGAAGCGTAGAACAATAGATTCAGTTACGGAGCCGTGTGGTGGGCACAGAGCGAACTATTCTTTCGCCTTTTACTAAAGAATACCGTGTGCTCGCCACTTGAAGCGGCATACGCCAATTTTTGGAAAGGGTGTTCTTAATTGAATGCCCCCCACCCAATAGCAGTTTCAATGTTTTCTTAGTTGGGGGACTTTGTTCGGCGAAGTTGGCCAAAATAAATTTAATGCTGTAGTCGTAGGTTGCAGGAGTCAAATGAGTGTTCGTTAAGATTGGAGGCTGTGGTTAGATGGTAAGTCAAGTTCAAATTAAATTTTAGTGGTAGTAAAGATTGGAATATATTATAGTGGAAGCGAAAGTGTTGGTTAAGATTGGGATAGCAAGTCAAGCGGAAAGTGTTAGTTAATATAGGAGGGGGTTCATATGGTATTAGAAGTTCTTGTGTGGTTTTTCAAGACATACTTATGAATGTTAAAGCATTGCTAGCTTTGCTTGAGAGCAGAAGGCCTAAAATCCCCCATCACAAGAAACAGTGAGACGGTCTTTACTGCGGCCTTTATCCAAATTCAGACAAGCTTTGTATTTATATTCGTCCTTGGGCTTCCAAAGTGCGTTGCTCAATGAATTGCAACGCGAAGTTTTAATCCTCTGTTTCATTTTTCTTATCTTTATCCTTTTGTCAAATAAAAAAAAAATTGATTAGTATATTTTCAATACTCAGAAATTATCATTCAAAAAAATATTTATTGAAATAATGCAATTATAATTATCTTTATCGGCAAGGCCATTGTAAGTAACTTTTTATTGCTTAATTAACAAAAATTCACTCAATATAAAAATTCACTCAATACCTCATAAGGATTGATGTGAACGGTGACACCCTACAAACACTGATGGCAGGTGATAATAGTATTAATTGTTTTGAATTAAAAAGATGTTCAAATTTCAAACAATTGAATTGACTCTTTAAATCGTCTTTAAATTATTAACAGAATCTTTTTAAAAAAAAATTTTGAAAAAAGGTATTTAAATATCTAACAATTGAATTGATCTTTTAAATTGTCTTTAGATTACGAGCAGAATTTTTTTAAAAAAACTTTTTTAAAAAAATACAATTTTATGATCCAAAAAAGCTGAACTTCAAAGGAGCACAAACGGTTTTTTCGCATTTTGCGATGAGAAACAAAGACAATTTGCATTCCAAAAATCTTAAAAGAGTGATTTGGGAAGAGACAAAAGCAATCCTCTTTGCATTTTTGCCAAACCTAACATTGTACGCTATCTTTTTGGTGCCTTGTCTGAAATGAAATGTTGAAATCCTTGGGAGTTAACGATTGAATTTAAGTCAACACATTGATGTCTTCTTCTGATCTTTCTAATATGAAGGTATTTCCTTTGTCATCTCTCCCTATCCTCATGGTATCATCTACATATCTGCAGTGTTCACCTCAAGTAAAGGAAGAACCACATTCTCCACCATCCCAATCTCAAAGGGCTAGAAAACTAACATGTTGGGTGAGTAAATCAGCAGTAATAAGAAAGGATACGTGATCTCCAGCCACCCCTCTGGATTGAAGATAGCTAGCAACAGATTATAATTTTTCCGGAACACATTCATCAACTATTGTTTCTCAAACAAAGAACAAGCATTTGTTTATTCCAAGTTAGAATACATAAACTGAGTAGTCTTTGGCTCAATTAATAAAAGTGTAGCAGCTTACCTGATCTGGAGTGATCGTTGAGTTATCATAATTTATCTCAACTCTCTGTAGAATATGGAAAAAAGGAAAACAGTTCCATCATGAGTTATAAGCGTGTAGAATTGTACCATTGAAGAAAAAGGCAAAAAGGGGAATCGGAGCTTTAACTGATTTGGAAGCGATCTTGAAGGACGCTTCAATCGTCAGCTTCCCATTCAGCAAACTCAATCCTCTGGCATTGAACTTGATCACGTTAACCGCTTTGCTCTCCATTTTCCCATGATCAAATGCTAAAGTTAGTAAAAGGCAAACGATATTACAAACACAGTTTCATTTGGAAACGGCACACTAGCGTTTAAATTCGGTGTACTATGATTGTAAGATTCTGGATATTTATTCAGAAACGATATGATTTAAGTCCCCTGGAATTTCTCAAACTATTTCATGAACACATTAGCTTCACTGTAAGAAAATCTTATCATGAATTCATTATACCTTTTCAACATCAATGGTCTGGAAAAATTCTCCCAAGCTGATGATATCTCTCAATCCCAGCTTTGTTCTCTTTGAACCCAAGATTGTAATTGTACTGTAAACAAGCTTCCAGCAACCACCCACCTTCATTCCATTTAGAGAAACATAACTGTAACTCCATCCTTTATCATATTTCCACAAATAGAATGCAACTTAAATTTTACCTTATCTAGATTTAAGGTAGGATCTGGAGTTGGGTTCTGAGATTCTAGCAGCTTCACCAGAGCCTCGATATCAGATTTCTTCGAGGATGGTACTCCGAAAATCCCCCTATTGATTCCTTGGAATATATACATAGATGCAACAAACATTTCAATCTTTATCTCAAAAGCTTTGGCCATGAAGGAAAAAAAAATGGGCTGAAAATCCCAATGGCCATACCGTTGACTTCCTGGTAGAGTTTAGTTTTGAGCTGGGAAAGTGTTATAAGATCTTGTACATCTTCCTCACCGACTAAGCCAGCGTTCTGCTCAGCAACCTTGGTAGTATGAGTAGGCCTAAATCCATTGCTCTTTGTCATTGGATATGTGGCTGAGACCACTCTGCAACTTCTCATCCTTGCTTTGATTTTGCATATCAGAGGAACCACTTGGGGAGCTAGGATTGCTGGTTGGATAAGCTTGTTGGACATGAATGCAATCATTGGTACAAAAAGTTTTGCACCCTTCGTTTTTGGGAAAGGAAAACAAAGCCCAAGTTCATGTCTAGACGAGGGGGAGTAGCTCAGGACCATGTCGAGGTTAGCTGGGATCGCCCTATCCAGTTGATAATTGATAGGTTTTAATTATCTCTCGGCACTTTTAATATGTGTACGGTTTTCGGTTGGTAAATTCACTTTCAATTTTCATTTTCGTGGTGTCTTTTTTAATTTTTTTTGTTTAAGTAAGTACCTTATCATATACAAAGGGGAATATTCCAGCTTCAAGGTGGACATGCTAACAGAGAGACAAGCATTACCATCAACAAATTGATGGCTATCTTAATTCTTACCTTCAAGGCGAGACAGCTTTTATATTTTGGGTGGCGGGTATTACTTACACATACTTTTTTTTTAGTAGTATTACTTACACATGCTTAATTGCAATAAGAGATGAAATTTACTACCGTCAGATCTTATATCCTTTTTGGGACAATTCTTTCAACACAAAATCAATCTCCCATCTCCATCTTACTTTACTTTTCCATTGTTTTAGTATGTCCAATAGGTAAGTTTCCACTCAGCTATGCAAAGGTAATAGTACTAACATGCTAAAACATCTACCAAATGTACAGTAAAACGATGCTTTGATATTTCTAGTATCAGCTGTTCTTTTCAGGTTGTCTTGAGTTCAAACACTATTTCTCAAGTAGCTACATGAACTCTTATTTAGATCCTCCAAATTTTAGTGGAGTATCTTTCTAAGCATCTGCTTTAGATTTTTTGTGACTCTTGCTGCAGTTTCCACTGCTCGGGGGTCAGAGCCTTCTTTATTGAGAGAGCATGGATTTGCTTCATCTCGTCTTCCAGAGCACCATTCACTATTCTATGCCTCTCCAGAAGCCTCTTCCCTTCGAATTGTTCAGAGACAATCTCAATTGCAAAACTTGCACCACACCTGATCCAATCACAAAACTCATTATAAAGTTTCAAAATGAAGGATGAACTAGTGCAGAAATTCAAATAAAAAAATTTCCCAATATACTCACCCTCCAGATGTATCAATTACTTCCTGCAACACACAAGTATAGGAATTAGTTTACAAGAAAATAACATCAGATGTACAGGTATCAAATTAGAAAAACGAATATTGATAAACCTTAGGAAGGCTTAGACATAAGAAAGCAAAATTTCAAAAAATCAAAAGTTGGGTGTCATTCACAATTAAAGTGCAGAGAGGTTTCTAGTAATCATCAATGCATAAACAAAAATGATTCAGAAGGGAATCCATGCCAGGAACAGAAGCATTGTGTTTGATTGAGCATATAAACTCATACTCCACATATATTTATAAACAAACGTTACTAATGCCATTAGATAACAATGACCTTCATGCCAAATCCTCATTATAGGAAAAAAAGGTACCAATGCCATTGGATGAAGGATGACATAAGTTCAAAATCATTAGAGCGCATGGCGCTATTTTCTAACTGGAGGGAATGACCTCCCTCATAATGCACAAAAGCAAAAGAGCTAACGGGCTTTTTCTTTGAAGAAAAAATGACACTTCGAGGGGAGAGTACATCATAAATGGAGTTATGACTAACAAACACATTAAAAAAAAGTCTTTCCAAGCAAAAAAAAAAAAAAACACTTTTCAAAACAGTTAAGAAAATTATCTTCTTCAGGTTAGTATCATGATCATCTGGACCCTGGTCAGAACGATAAAAAAAATTCAAAAAGCATCCAGCACAACTTCGTTCAGCTACCTATGAATGCTTTCAAATAGATTGAAATTACTGCCAGATTCTTGCAAAGATCAGTGCAAGTATGGCTAATCAAAGAATTGCCAATAGACAATCTAACAGTCTTCAAAATCACTGGAGGCAACAACCAAACAAATTTAATTCTAATCGAAACTCAAACGTCAGTTTTGGTGATATATCAACCAGAGACTAGAAAGGAACCCTTAGTCCTCAACAAAGTCTATCAGTATATGTATATATGAAGCCTTGAACATTGAGCCTGAACTATTACAAAAGTCACTGTCAAACCTTTTAGAAACAAAAAGAAAATTATCTTTTATTTTTCCTTCTCAAGTGATATAAAGCTAAGATGATAGCGCACAGTTCTCGACATCTTTTAAAACTGGGTCCTAGTAGCTGCAAAATTAAGATTAATTCCAAAACCCTTTTCATCACAATATCTTTTCATATAACAATAAGAAGGTTCAACAATGGTTACATGACAAGAACGAGCTTGAGCTCCTGGGAATTAGCAAATTATAGTGATATGAATGGTGCTCAAACAAGTGCATGCACCCTAGACATAACAACTGTGTTAAAACCCAAAACGAGCCCTAATCACCCCAACAGGACCCTCAATCCATTCAAAGCTTGAAAGACATATTATTCTTTCTCATTCAAACAACTCCAGCCTAAAGGGAACCAACAAAATTTCAAGAGTGACACAAAAATCTCAAGACAAATTCATCAAAGGCAGCATGATGCTCTCTTACTTATCAATTTCCAACTTGCTTTTCCATACGTGTTCAACAAAATTTAAGTTCTACCCCATATCCCTTGCATCTTGCAAACTTGCTTTCACTTAATGGCTATTAGAAAACTGCTAATGTGTAACTATGAAATAATTGGTCTACATAAAAGATGCATCCTTCGTGCATTTTATTTTATTTTATTTTTTAAATTTTTTTGATTTTTAATTCTGCAAAAAATAATTAATTTATTTGAAAACAAAAATCAAAGAGCGAAAGCATTATTGTATTTCCCGAAACATGATTAAGGATGAAAGAAAAAGCCTTTACTTTGCATACTTGAACCTAAAACCAATTGAAAACAGGTAAGAAAATAGAACCCAGAGGCTGAAATTTTCCAACTAGGATTGGAATAAAGGCATATGAACGTGAATGAAAACTGAAGAATCTGAAATAGAGGTGAGATTACCAGATGAGACGGCTTCAATCTTGAGGTCAACGAAGATTCAACTTGCTCCTTGGTTACTCCCATCTTCCTCTTCCTCTGTGTCTCTTCGCCTCCGCTGCTTCTATGTTGGTTGGGTTCAACTTCAAGGCACGGAAATAGGCCCAGAGTCCAATATTCCGTTTACCAGAGTATTAATGAAGAATAACATAAAAGAGAAAGATTCGATTTGGGTGGAGTATACTTTATCGACTATATTCTACGCAAGGCCCATTCATTCCTAAAAGCCCATTGTCAATTTATTATATTTATATATATATATATATATACACGTACATACGTAACATAGCAATTAACGTGATAATAAGTGCATCAAGTTGATACATTGCATAAGAAAACGAGAGGGGCGGGGGTCCCTCTCCAAATTAATTGAAATGATTAAAATTCGAGTACCATTTCATTAAAACTCTACAAATTGTGGGGTCATGTTGCCTTTAAACCCTTTGTAAAATACAATGCATGTGAACCGCCCACAACTCAAAGTTAAATTGCAATCATTAGTTAACTCCAAAATTAAGGAGACATTAATTAAATGTTTTACTAATAATCAAAATCATTAGTTAATTACTCTCCTTCCATTGTTTTTCCAGACCCTTGTACTTTTGTTTGATCAATATCTTATGCCTTTCATTAATTATCAGCAGAATTTGAAGCAAGTTAACCCTTCCAACGATAATTGAGTAGACCCAAAATGCAATTTGATTTGTTCTTGGATTTATGGGTTAATTAATTAGAAGAGAAGAAATCTATAATAACTTGGTTGTAATCCAAAGGGGGAAAATACAAAGTTTGATCGCAAGTAAGACATGATTGGCTAGTGTTCCAGCTATGAACTAATAATACCATCCATTACTTGTAAACTTAAATGTATTAAATAATAAACACTAGTAATGAAATGGGTAAGTGAAGATATTTGGAAACAGGCAAGGAACAAGGGACACAAAGAAAACTGCATTAATTGGACGGAAATGAGCCGCGTTGGTTTGATTGAGACCACATATTCAACTCTCATCCTGCCATTTCCTTAGGGTTGAAAACTTAGACTTTTTGCATTAGATTCTTCTTATAAATGAATGCTTGCTTGCTGGCTGGGTAATATGAAAAGATGTCTATAAAATCTAAACATTACGTGAACCAATTCTATACTCTTACTTTGATAAATATCTTGTTGCCCTTTTTGGAGAGAAAAAGTCCAAAACAGATTAGCAAATTAAACAAATATTCATCTTGTTTTTTTTTTTAATTTCGTTTTGAATAGCAACTCATGCTCTTTAACTCAAGATTTATGTTGGTCTATTTCGGAAAAAAAAATCTGTTATTTAGCACTCGATGCTTACCTCTGCCAATCCAATCGCATGCGTGCATGTGTTTAATTTTTATCACTTGCTTTACCCGAAAGGAAGTTGTTCGGCATAATGGGTACACAAACGAATTCAACTGACGGAAAGTGGTTTTTTTTTTTTTTTTTTCATTTAACTTTTTGGGTAGAATTGACTAATTTTATCAACCCTTCTTTTGGTCTTTAATATGTATTTTTTTCCAACCAATGTGGCAAAGACGAGTTGCATTATTTTTATAATCACCATGACTGGGAATCTTAATCTATAAGTACAAGAATAATGACCTTTTTATTCCCAAATCAAGTTTTTCTACAGCAGTCAACAAAATCTGCTGAATTAGTTTTAACTGCTACAAAAAGCAATATCTTAACTTAAGCATAAATGCCTTCTTTTTCTTTTTCTATATAAAATTTTCTTTCTCTAACCAAGTAAAATTTTTTATAACAATAAAAATTCCATTTTCGTTAATTTTGTTCCTTCAAATGCAAATATGATTGTTATGATTGTAATTTAAAATAAGATAAACTCCATTTATATTTTTTGTGGTTTTAACCTTTTTTTTTTATAATATTTTATAATTTTTTTTTCAATTAATACTATATGAATAAGTTTCGCTTCCATAAGAATTTATCTATTCACATTTAAAAGGCATTTTTGTAAGTTTTTTTTTTGAACAAAACCGATGGTGTAACTCCTTATGGGCTACATGCTATTAATTGGGAAAAATCATAAAAATACCATGTAAAAAAAAATTAAAATCACAAATTTTGTAAATTGAGTTCACCCTTTGAACTATTATGAAAAATAGAATATTGTTATTGTATCCCTCAAAGAACAAGTAATGATAATTTCATTCCAAGTAAGTACGTATGGATGAGTGAGTTTAAATGATTGTAAGTTGAAACAAGTACCACAACTTTAGCATCTTCAAAATTATTTTCCAAAAATTCCCTTTTTTTTTTTTAAACGTAAAGAGTAGTTTAGTCATTTTTGTACATAAGCAATCCAAAAGCAAATACGAAATGAAGACTGAAAAGGCCAAAAAGTGCGCAAAAGTGAAGCTGGCAAATTTAACCAAATTTGGTTGCCAAGACAAAACGCCAACTTGTCTCTATCCACACACCTATTGCTCTTGCTGCTTTCACAAGGGCTGTTTCCAGCTCTATCCCAGCTCTAACCCTAAATCAGCCCTTTTAAAAAAGGGAAATTTTCTAAGATCTTGATCCAAATTTTTTTTTTTACAATTTTACCCATGGCCTCCCAAGATATTTAGGGCCACTTATCCTCGCATGCTCGTTGCGGGAAAGCCCACTTATCTTGACCCAAAATTCAAAATCATGAGTTCGGTCAAAGCTCTCCAAAAAAGTCAAAGACACTAAATGACAGGTAAACCAATGAAAGGTTGACATGTCAAAAATATCAGCTTGGTTTTAGGCCCACTTGATCACAACTCCTCCTACCCCTCTTTATCTTTTTAAAGAAACCCTAAATCACCTATCCCTTTGTTACCTACTTAACCCAATCCAATGGTAGAATTGTGAGGGAAAAAAGAGAGAAACAATTTTTACCTTAAAAAGAGAAAAAAAAAAAAAAACAAAGGAAAAACACCCATCTCCTAAAGTCTAAAAAAATTTACTTTTTCGACATCTTCAAGAAAAACCCACTTAAATTTTCACAATTTTTTTGCTTCGGGGCTGTAAACTATTTTACTGAAGTGTTTTTGAGATGATGGAAAATTCAGGTTTCCCGGAAAATAATACAGTCGCCGACAACGTCAGCTTGGAGAATGAAGAAGAAGTTACCGTGAAAAACGAAGAGAGTGAACGGAATTTTCCAGGGAACCGTTGGCCAAGACAAGAGACTTTGGCTTTGTTAAAGATAAGGTCTGACATGGATGTTGCTTTCAGAGACTCTGGTGTCAAGGCTCCTCTCTGGGAAGAAGTTTCCAGGTTTGGTTTTCCTTTTTTTTTTTTTCTTCTGAACTCTGTTTTGTGTTTCTTTCCCGGGGAAAATTAACCGGAAAATAAAGGAAAATGTGGGGTTCTAAACAGAAAATGTGGCAAACATTTGGTTTTCAAATGATGGGCTCATTGTGTTTTAACTGGGGGATATTGAATTCCTTCTTGTTTAATTATACCGTTTTAAAAGAACTAGTGGAGCTATTAAATGTAGAAAAAAACTTTTATCAGTAAAAGTGCTTACTTTTTTATACTATTTTCTTGTGTTTTATTTTAATTTCACTCTTCAGGTTCAATATTCTTAGTTATCTTTGAATTTTTTTAGTTACTTAAATTTATTACAATAAATTTTTGAGTTAAGATAATTAATTTTGAGGTGCAATAATGGGATTGTTTCACCAGGAAATTGGCCGAGCTTGGATATAACAGAAGTGCCAAGAAATGTAAGGAGAAGTTTGAGAACATCTATAAGTACCATAGGAGAACCAAAGAAGGTCGATCTGGAAGATCGAATGGCAAGAATTATCGTTTTTTCGAGCAATTAGAAGCATTGGATCATCATCCTTCCTTGCTTCCACCTGCCACCGGACACATTAATACCTCAATACAACCCTTGAGTGTTATCCATGATGCCATTCCGTGTTCTATCCGAAACCCGGTTTTGAGTTTCAATGAGACCTCTGCCTCAACTACTTCTTCATCGAGTAAGGAATCGGATGGGACGAGAAAGAAAAAGAGGAAATTGACTGAGTTTTTTGAGAGGTTGATGACGGAAGTGATGGAGAAGCAAGAAAATTTGCAGAAGAAATTTATTGAGGCTATAGAGAAGTCTGAACAAGATAGGATGGCTAGAGAGGAAGCATGGAAGATGCAAGAGTTGGCTAGGATTAAGAGGGAGCGTGAGCTATTGGTGCAAGAGAGATCGATTGCGGCAGCTAAAGATGCTGCTGTGCTCGCATTTCTACAGAAGTTTTCAGATCAAGCAACGTCAGTGCGATTGCCTGAGACCCCATTCCCTGTTGAGAAAATTGTTGAGAGGCAAGAAAATAGCAATGGTAGTGAGAGTTATATGCACCTAAGTTCTTCTCGATGGCCTAAAGATGAAGTGGAAGCTTTGATAAGGCTGAGGACTAATCTTGATTTGCAATATCAAGAAAATGGACCTAAAGGCCCTCTATGGGAGGAGATATCAAAAGCAATGAAAAAGCTTGGCTACGATCGAAGTGCAAAGAGGTGTAAAGAAAAATGGGAGAATATGAACAAGTACTTTAAAAGAGTAAAAGAAAGCAATAAGAGAAGACCCGAGGATTCGAAGACATGTCCTTACTTTCACCAACTAGATGCTTTATACAAAGAGAAAACCAAAAGGGGTGATGGTTCAGTTATTACTGGTTATGAATTAAAGCCTGAGGAGCTTTTGATGCACATGATGAGTGCCCAAGATGAACGACCGCATCAAGAATCAGTGACGGAGGATGGTGAAAGTGGGAATGCTGATCAGAATCAGGAAGAAAATGGAAACGCTGAAGAGGAAGAAGGAGATGCTTATCAAATTGTAGCTAATGATCCTTCTCCGATGGCAATTATTGGGTGATTTGAGACAAATGGTGAGACTTTCTTTTGAGAGCTAAAGTGGGAGTGCCTGAGTTTTGTCAAGTGGGTCAGGGTCCATAGTGTCGTGTCTGTATAATAGATTGTACGGGGGCAGATTTCAGTTTTGAGAAGTTTCTTTGATACAACGTGGGAGGCATCTGGGTAAATGGTATCCATCCTTAAGTGTATATGGTCATTCGTTTGAATAAACATGTGAGGCGGAGGGAGAGAGTGGAATAAGGGGAGGCTGTGTGTGATATATAGTATTCCAAATATACCTTTTTAATTTTTTTGGCTTTAGATTTGTGCAACAATGGGAAATGGTTGGTTGATTGGTTTGTGTTTGTATCACTCTCAGTTTACACTTTATGACCAAAGTGGTAATGATATCACCCGTGCGCCAGCAATTGGTATGATTGGGGAAAGAAAAACCTTTAGACATGATATGCTTTTTAGCCACATTTTTGTTAGGTTATAATTAAAACAGTATCTCCTTTTGGGTTTCATCACTTGTGCTTAGGCTTTGCCAGGCTTCTTTTTATACGCAATTTTCTTTAAATGGGATTTGGAAAGGTTCCATTTCTGCACTCCCCGTTGTGTCATTATGTCGATTCAATTGTTGACTTTATGTCCTATATTAGAATGTGGTTTATCATACCGTAACTTGATTCTTAAGACATTAAATAGAATATATATATTCATGTACTACTCCATCATTCGGGTTGAGTAATGCTTATAAAATGCTCTTCCAAAAAGAGAGTGATGCTTATTAAATATGAAATATAATTCCCATGTTAGCGTTGCTTGTTATACTTGTTCATGATAGAATAGTAAAATGTTAGAATTAAACCGATCCTCCATTTGATATTAGAGAACATAAAAGTAAAGAAAGATTGAGAGGACAAAATGATTAGATTAGTTAAACAAGATTATTTAGTCTTCAATTATATAACTCCCGCTTGTGGCTAACATTATCCTTGTTTTCTTATTAATCAAGGAAAACAAGTTTTCTACTCATCTTTTCCTCCCAATTCATTTTCTCTTTCCGTACACCATGTTAATCACATGCTTGCTTTGTAGGTAATGTTTTGAACAAAAAAGCCCTACCAAGACATGCCAAGCAAAATCAAGACTTTTTCAAACTTATTACTACTAGCATGTTTGGTTGGGAGAATGACTCATCCTTTCTTGAGGAACAAATGTTCCTTTGTTTGGGTTCCACATGCTCCAAGAAATAACCATTCTTTCAGAATAGCTGTTCCCCAAAATAAGTTAAAACTAAAGAATAGCTAATATTAACACCTCTTATGGTATTAACTATTTGTTTGTTGAGGAATGGCCTTAAAAAATGATGAACACCAAAATGTCTTTTATAAGTTTGAAAAATTACTTATTATATATTATAAAAAATAATATTTTAAATTTAAAAATTAATTAAAATCATTATTATTAGGATCATAATAACATTTAAATTATAAATAAAATATTAATATTTTAATTATCAATTATTAATATTATTATAAGCATGAAAAAAGTTTAAATTTTTTAAATATATATTATTAAAAATAACATTTTAATTTTAAAAATTATTTATATTTTAATCATAATAACATTTACACTAAAAATAAAATAAATATTAAAATGTTAATGATTAAATTATAAAAAAATATTCATATTTTAAAGTGTTAATGATTAAATGATAACTAAAATATTAATATTTAAATAATCAATTATTAATATTATTGTAAAAAAAAGTTTAAACTTTTAATAATATATTATAAAAATATATTTTAAATTTAAAAATTGATTAAAATTATTAATATTTTAATCATAACATCACTTAAAGTATAAATTAAATAGTAATATTTAAATGATCAATTATTAATATATTAAATCGATTATAAATTATTAATATTTTAAAAATATAATAAAAAATAAATAAATAATAATAACAATTAAATTATAAATTAAATATTAGTATTATAAAATATTAATTATTAAATTATAAATTAAATATTAATATTTTAATTATAAATTATGAATTTTTTAAATAAATTATAAAATATTAATAATTTAAAAAAAAACATAAAAATAAATAATCATATTTATAATAAAAAATTTTTTTATCTTTTTATATTTTATTCTTTGCTTATTTTAAAGTTGTTTTTACCTATCAAATATTGTAATAAGTTATAATAAATATTCTTATCATATTTTATTCATCACATCAAATTACGAAATAATTATTTTATTATATTTTTACTTTATTTAATTTTTTAAAAAAATTATTCTATTTTATTTTAACTGTTGCGTAACTAAATATGTAAAATACTAACACTTGAGTATTTTATTTATTAATTAATATATTATTTTTTATTTAAAAAATAAAATTTAAATCTTTTTTCCTTCTCTTAATTATATAAAAAAAATATGTAAAATATTATTTTACCTTGGAGGACACTGTCAAGTTAATAAAGGGGTCCACAGCTCACTCAATAAGTGGCGCCAATCTTCCCTAGACAGAGCCTTATCTTCTTGCTGTGGGCCTTCGGTGTTGAAGGTTTAAGTTCACCGTCAACAACAAGAAGCGACATTTTACCCCCTACGAATAATTTCAAAACAAAAATGGACAAAAACATTGAACTTGGAAGCCGTGGGCTCAGGCCCTCTGGCTTAATTATGATTGAAGCAAGGGGATAAGACTGGTCCAAGGGCTCAGGACCATGTTTCACGTGGCTGAACCACTCCCCTTTAACAGTTTTGCTTTAGAGTTTACAACAGTAGAGATAAAAATAAATAAATAAATATTTCATGAACTTCATTTTGAAACTATGGAGTTGCAGTGTTGCACCTATCTTAACAGCAATGTCACAAACACAAAAAAAAAAAACCATTTTTAAATGAATTATAAATGTTATGATGAGTTACAGTAGCAAGTCAAAGATTTGTAGTGAGAGAGTGACATTGGCTCATAGCATTTATAGCAACGTTCCTCACATCATATGGTAGGATAGAACCTAGCTAAGATTTTTCAGGTGTTTGTCTGTTAATGAAAATAAGATAAGTGTAAAAATTTGACAACCTGACAAGCACACAATTAGTGTACTCTTCATGCCAATTTTAGAATTTTTATTTTATTTAACACATGGATGGTCGAAAAAAAGATTTCCATCAACAAGTTTTATTTTTGTGACATGCCTATTTAACTAAACAAATTAACATATTCATTTTTTTTAATTTTTGATTCAATGAATATGTGATGCACATAGCTTAAATTTGTTTACCTTGGGTTCATAGTAATTGTGTAAATTTATGTTGAAATTGATTTTTTATATATGTTATAAATAGTTGACATTAATTATTGTTACTTTTGATAAACATTTAGTTATTCCATTGAATTCATGTGAATATATCCGTTATTCTTCACTCATGATTACAATACTAGATTTAAAGGTGGTAATTGGGTGTGGGTATGGCTCGTTTTATGGTAGAGCTCAAAAATTCTTTTGCTCTATGCCCTCTATTTACAGCTACGGCTCTGAATGAATGAATAAAAAACTTGGGTCTAAACCTAGAAATCCCTGCACATGAATATACAAATGAAGGATCCTAAGTTTACATGGCAGTTACATCCAGACCACATGATCAGGCCTCTCTCCACCATCAGATTCTAATAGTTTTTACTCTCCTTGAGATCCGAGTTACTCATTTTTCGATAAACTCACTGCTACTCTTTGCAAAGTAAGTAGTAGCCTTCACTCACCAAACCCAAACAACTCTGATCTCTATCTTCCTTGGCACATCAATGGCAGATTATGAGCCAACACATCATCAGACTCACCACCACCACCATCACCACCAAACAATCCCAAAGGAAACCGCTCTCCAAGCATTAAACACCATAATTCAACTTCACTTTGAGAAGACCCTGGAAAAGAAGAGGGCTATAGACCTCCAAAAGAAGGAGCTCCATAAGCTTTTCCAGCTCTTCTTCATCTTCCTGGGGCTTGTCTTCATGGCTCAGGCTCAGTCTACTCGTCTGCAGTGCCGCCATTGCTGGGCTCCCATCACTCTGCTTTCGATGTCCCATCTCATTTTCTATGTCTCAGTGGCTCAGACCTTGAGGTGCATCAATGGGTTCAAGTACCAGAGGCGGTGCCACAAGCTGACTCTCGGGTTGGCTACAGAGAAGCTGAGAGAAATGAAGTTGAGGATCAACAATGGCGAGTTTGTAGATGGGTTTGGAGAAGAGGGTGAGTTTGAGATTCATTACCAAGAGCCTCCGGAGAGCTACTTTGCTAAGTTCAAGAGGAACTGGGCATTGCATTTTGGCTTCTTGATCTTGATCTATGCCTTCATGGTCTCTTCTTCTGTTGTTCTGCTTTGTTTTTAGGTGGTGGGTGATCATTGATCAAGGTCTATTTTTTTTTTTCAAAAAAAAAATATTTTAACTGAGTATTTTTAGTGTTAATTTAACGTTTAAACAGGCAGGAATGTTAATGATAATAACAACTGATTGCTTTATGTGAATACCTTGGATTCCTGATTGGGCTCCTTGTTAAATTAGAAAAAAATTGAAACTGATGTTGATTATTCTTACTTTTGATGTTCTTTTTTCTTTATGTAATTTTCATTTTTATTTTTCCTATCTACTACTATCATTTTTCTAGGGTTGTAAAATTGAGTGTGCTTTTGATAAAAGTTCCAATGCGCAATGATGAAGGTAGGGTGGCTTTCTATGGATACTTTTGTATGTACTGTATTATTGTGATTAATTCTTGTTTTAGTTCCAGCATTCCTTTATGTTTTGGGGTGTGTTGTGAGGTTGGAAAGGGGATAATCTACTTTTTCAACTTCTGATGATGGTTAGTTTCTGGACAAGGAGACAAAACAATGGCAGTATAAATTACTAGGTTTCTCACAGGAGTAGAGTTAGCATCAGAAAATTACTATAATTATATTTGAATTTGAAATTTGAAAACTAGAAGTCCATAACGTCCTCCTTGACTGCTAACTAGGTTTCTGAGAAGAGTGTAACTGATGCATAACAGGTTAAGTCTGTTTGAGCAGATGGTCCATTCTTCTGCTTTCCTTTCACGAGATTGAGATTCCTTTATTTTCACATGCTTCATCTTTTTCGCAGGAGTACTAGTTTTTTTTACCAGCAAAGAAGCTTCATAGGAAATGCTTCTTTCCTCCGTAGAATTCAGGACCCCCCCAGACCATTGGCCTTGCAAGGAAACCATAAATATTGGGGGTGGTAGATAGTTTAATGTCATGAGAAATGTAGTTAAGCGCAAATGTGAGGCCAGGTCTTGTTTTCGCTTTTCACCGTCCGAGTGTTAAAAGTATCAACCAAGTTGTATTAAAGAAGGAAAAAATGTAATATGTCACATGAAACTGCAAAAAAGTTGCCTGCAGAGCCAATTTCATGGGCACGGTAAGTATAAAAAAGTACAATTTCCCCGTAAGCTCAACGAAACTGGTGCAACTTTGTTTGCTTCATTCCATTAATAATACCGTTGGAATTGGAGTGTGAGGGTCCACAAATGTGGTACGAGGGTAATGTTGCCTAGTAATTTTCTTTCATCTGGCTTAATACCATTCATTTAACATCAATCTTGCGTAATTAAGGATTATAATGGAGTTACTGGGTAAAAAATGATGACAGGGAAGCTACCGTTGAAAGCTCCAACCCCGCGCAATATTCATCCAAAATATGAAAATCCCTCAATGGGACCTAGCTGCTGTCCTTTCGCATCTGTCAGGGTGTAGAAATTCTTTATTAAATCCCGCTTTTAATTGTTAATCTTATTTTGCTCCACTTTTAATTGTTCTATTCACAAACGGCATTAGCTAATTGAATACCAACTTTGGAACAGCTTTCGTGGGCAATCTTTTTAATTCAAAACCTTACTTGTAAATTTAATATTCATCTCGTCTCTTAGTGAGGTAGAATTTGTGACAATCTATTAAATTTTGTTGTAAGATTCGAAAATATTAGATTCAATTTCTAGTGGAGTTATCAAACTGTCGTAACGTGTGAGTTTGAGAATTTAATTGCCTCGACATGAGGTTTGGAGTCGTTATCAATATTTTTTATTTAAATGTGATTAGCTACTTAAAAGAAAAATTTTGATATATTTAATCAAAATAGATTCAGGAGTTCGATTACGTGAAGTACCTTTGTTTAAATAACAATACCAATTAATGATTGGTTATCTTATTTTAATCTTATTTATGAATTTTATTTTTATTTTCGTTAATCATTATTTACATGTTATATTTTCAAGTCTTATTTATCATTAAATTTTGGAGACCTTTCTTAGGCCTTCCAACACACTAGTGGGGGTTTTCGAAATCCTCCTCACCTCGAGAGAATTCAAGAAGGCTTGTCTATTCCTTCAAATTGATTCTGTCATCAAGTGTTTGATATTTGTTAAGGATGATTTTTGGTTTTAAATTTTATACATTTTATTCTTATTATTATATTTTAGTATTTTTATTTTTGTTGATGTATAAATGAGATCTTTATATATATAAAAAAAACTTTCTAAATTATCTCAACGCTTTAATAAAATTTAAAAATTTACCACTGCTAAAAAAAAAAAATCTAAGAGTTTACCTTTACTCATTTTTACAAGTTTTTTGACAAAATCTCATAATTGGAGATTTTCTTCCATGAACCACGTTTATGTTATTAATGCACATGGAATCATAATGTAGTTTTAATTTTAAATAACTGAAGGAAAAACCTTGTGTGGGAAAAATTTTCGTAGACTTTTCCCACATGAAATTAAAAAACCCAAAAAGAATAAAAAAAACTTGATTTAGACATTTTAAGCAGAAACATTACTCGATCATCTAGTACTCGACTCCCACATCCAGTACTCAACACGAATTATTTGTTCATAAAACCTTGTGATCATATGCACCTATGCTTTGTTGCACAATTAAATTTCCACCATAAATATTTTTTTTGTCATAATTGCCATGAAATTTGAGTAAGAAATCATCATCAAGATTTCCGATCACCTTGTTTTTATTTTATTTTATTTAAGTTTACAATCCCTGTTCCCTTCTTAAAAATAAATTTATGGCCCATTCTCAATATTTTGGGCCAAATAATCAAATCGTAGAAGAGCCAACTTGGTGTTGGCGATGAATTATGAAGAAGACCAAAAATTGATAGAAGAATAATTCAATATACTAGCTATTCTCCAAGACAACCTACTTGGAGCTGTAAGCATTTGAATGAAACACCAACCACCTCAGGCTAGAGCATTACACAATGATTTGTAGGCATCAACACACAGCTTAAATTTCTCTTCGGCCATTGCCTGCATACATGCATCCAGATCATGTAACTATCACAAATCCAAAATTAAATAAAAAAAAAAAAAAGAAGAAAATAAATCACAGATGTGATGACAACTCAGTTCACTAAGTCAATATCTAAACATTGTCCTCAAATAGGATCCCTACCCCCAGCTTCCCCTCAAACACTCCAACCAAAAAAAACAAATAAAGAAGAACCACACACACAAAACACACACACACACACACACACTGACACACAGAATCATAACGCAATTAATAAACAGGAACTAAAAATCCATAAACTTGCCTGCTGCAGAAGCCATAATTATGTGAGGGTTATGCATTAAGGACCCAGAAATCTTGGAGAGTATTCATAAAACTGCCACCATTCAACAATATAAAAATAATATTGGAATTAGGAAACTCTAACTAACCTGTGAAGGACCTTGATGCTTATCAGGATGCCACTTTAAAGCTGATAAACGGAAACTGCAAGGTAAATATTAATAATTTTAGGATACATAAAAGGAATTGGAGCAAAGGAAAAACTGAAATATGTCCAATCTTCAAGATGACAGGCCTCTTTACATTCAAGTTGAATGAAAGCACCAAAGTACTTACGCATTTTTAACATCGTCAATTTTCAAGGGGCCAGTTGGAGGCAGACCAAGGATTAATCTATCAGAACATGATCCTACAGCATATGACTCATCCTCAGACTCAGTTTCACTCATAGTCTCCCACTGTTTTCTTCTTTGATTAGTCCAGCCTGATTTTTCTCTCCACTCATATCCAGATTCTGAATTTTGGAAAGAAGATTCCCCACTAGAAGACCAAGTATACCATTTGTTCCCAAATGTAGCTTGAAAGATTGTCTCAGGATGATCAAAGTCCTCAGAGAAACTCTCTCTTCTAAACCTTCCTATGCATGCGAGAAAAGAAGACATCCAGTTTGTCAAATCACACATGAGGGCGCAAGCACTCAAAAATCTATCACACCTATATAATCCAAATGTGGCCTTGGTTTTCACCTTACAAACAAGATTAGCTAGCTAGGTTCTAATATCTCACTTTGTAACAAAGCTATCAAAGGCGCATCTTTAAAGAAAACATCATATCAATGTCGAATAACCACAGTGGTTTCTCTTTAGCAAAGAGTATTTTAATATTGGATGATATCTAGGCATTATTGTTCCAAACAAATGGAATAACCATTTTCTTTTTGAATGTGTCTGAAATGGTAATACAAGCTGCCATGACAAATATAGAAAACAAGAAATTTCATAACAAACCATAGTTCTGACTTTAGTAAGTCATCTCTGCTTAAATTCTTATGCATATGATGGATAAATACAATATTCATGAATAAGGAAAGAAAATCAGAGTTATTTTTGCTACCTGGGCTACATAACAGAATTTCATTGCTTTTCGATATTATGACGATATTCACATTTTATTTAACAAAATAAAGTTCTTCCACTGATAGGCATGCGGCTGTTGCATAACAGGAAATTTATTCACCATTTCACTAATGATATCAGATGCTACTTTAAAAAAACCTGCTGTGTGAGGCTCAAGGTCCCACATTCAAATACCCTTTCCATCCTTTGTCTTGTTAAAAACAAAGATTCAGTTACTTCTTTGGTAATCAAGTCAGTAGTCTGACATAATTACTCATTGTTTTAGAAAAATAGACGGATGAAACATAAGATTAGACCAATAAAGCAAGATAATTACTAAGCAGAAATAATTAATCAGATTTTAGAATTATTTTATGAAAAAATCTTAGATTCCACACCCAGCATAATTTAAGACAAATTATGGAACCCAGTTCAGCAGAAACTATTGCATAAAGAAGGCAATATTTATTTTAAATTTCATTTAAAGAAACAATAAGAGGAACGAAATAACAACAGATAGTTGAAGCTCACGTTTTATTTTTTTGTGATTAGATTTCCCAGCACGTTGTCCAGGAAACCTTGATCGCCACTTCTTATTGGAGCCATCTGAATCCTGGCCTTCTGTTCCATGAAATTTCCATATTGGATTGTCATCCTATTTAGAAGCCAAAGGCATGCATAAGTTCATTGTAATTTCAGGAACAAATTTTGTGTAAACTAAATCTCTGATACAATGTAATGGAGAAGCAGGATAAAGGTATCGTCCCATACACTTGAGACCAATGGTTTACTTGGGAAATAAATAAATTCAGGCTTTACATACACTAGAGTCCACTAGCTTTTAAGAAAATGAGATCCAACTTGTCATCACATCACCCACCACAAGAAGATTGCAACCTCACTCTTTCAATGGCCTTACTAAAATCCAACATCTATACTCAGATCCTAGACGCACACTTTATGTATGAAATGATAAAATTGCAATTTCATGTTACATGTAAATAGCAACAATGCAAACAATGAAAAAATTAGAATTAATTCCAAGGCATACACCAATCATTAGAGACCAAGAAATAATCCAACTTGCTCGTCCTTATGATTTTTTATAATGTAAACATGCTGCATGCATTGATCTTTTTAATTACAAGATCAATATCCAGTATTGGCTCCATTTGAGAGGGGTAATTCGGAACAGTCCTATACTAAATAAATAATTTGCCCAGGGAGTGTGAAATCCTATAAATCCAGTAATGCTGCAGCTTGACTAGGAAACTGGTGTTTATCCCTGAATTGTTACAATAATCCACATACTCTGAAATGTTTTGGCAAATTAAGGAGCTACAACCCATTTGATCTGGCAGAGCACTTGGCGAACAATACCATGACTGAATGGAATCTATAGCTCAGAGAAAAATAGAGTACATAAATTTTGAACCCTGCCTCTCAATGGTCTTTGCATCATTAACTAAAATGGAAATTATCAGTCAATATAGTGAAACAATATACAGGAGCTTTTGTATCTTCAACAATTTAAGTACAATTAAAATCCTCTATAACCTTTCATCAAATATGTTTTTATTCACTCTCATGGTTTAACATACCTAAATATTAAAAATTAGCAAAAACAAAGATAAAACACTTTTATTAGGAAACATGAATGAATATGAATAATAAATACTAATAAATGCTATTTCTTATGGTGTTCTTGCTATCTAAATATTTCAAAAACAGACACCTCTGTGCTCCAACTCTCACTCTATAAAGTAGTCCCTTGGATGAACCTGTTACCATGAGATGCCACTATCTGATAACTGACATGTCAAAACGTTTACAATTTGGCTTGGTTATGGAACACTTAAAGAGTTCTAACACAATCAGTATAACCAAAATTAAACTTCAATAAAACCATATAAACAGACTCTTGCAATTAAAACTCCAAAGCACTGGGCAGATTATTGGTCCATTGTTTGCAAAATAATTGATTAACTCCTAAATAAATCAGAATAAGCAAATAAAAGTTGGAATGAAACCATATGAACAACCAAAAGTTAATTTTATCACAATTTAATTATGCCATGAGCATGAAATAAATAGTGCACCAGGAAGATGCGACTCCACACCTTCAATACGATAAGGGTTCTAAATCGAACAGGCGCCCTGAAAAGTTTACCTGAAATGAAATACTTGAGGAACCAGTATTAAAGAGAAGGTCTTTTAGAGCTCTCTTTGCATCAGCACGCTTTTGACGTACTGCATATCTTACATAAGTCTGCATTCAATATTTGCAATGTCAGATAATTTTATTAATTACAAACAAATAAAGTAATGAAGAAAACTAACAGAAGGAGACAAAAAGTTCACAACAAAGCTACTTATGAAATTGACGAATAGCAACATCTTAAATATTAGCAGATATGTGAACATTTCAATTAATCACAGGTATTCCTTTCCTGAGGCACATTAGGTTTTTGTTAAGATTGCTAGGAAAGTCCCCAGGGTAATTTGAATGAAATAATTGATTTGGCAATCAAGGTTAAAGATAATATGAAGAAGAAACCTAAACATGTGATGGAGCATAGCTCAGGTATCTTAAACATACATACTTGACCTTGAATTTGGTATGCTAAAAGTTATCAGAAAATGATCAATCTTGCAATATGCCTATTTGACATAATAGGAACAAGATAATTAAGAGAGCAGTACAAACAATTACACAAATAGATGCCCCCAAACTGCATACCTTAGATGGTTGTTGAGCCCCTTTTTCATCCTGCAAAAATAATGTTAATGGTCAAACTTTCTCATCAAAGGCAAGACATACAGCTTTATCCTAACTCCTAAACAAAAATTTTCATGCATTACTAAAATCTAAAGCTCAACTATGCAGTTGCTGGTGGTCCAGAAAGGAAAAGCAGTAGAAAACTTATTCATATAGAAGAGAACTTACTTTCTCAGGACTAGGGACAGGCAGTATCGAGAATGAGGTTGAAAATTGCAAAAACTAAACATTATGAATATACAATCATCTACCAGTTAAGTGATGTGCTCCATCAGCTGAAAAGATTAGTCAACTGAATCATTCACCAAATAATAATCTTAACAGTAGCGCCCATCAAACACCACCAAGCAGAGTTTTTTTTTTTTTTTTTGCTCTTTGAACAGAGATTCATGCATCAACCACTCAGACAAATGCGCAGGTGCCACCAAGCAGAGATTTTTAACATAAAATCAAGCATGAAACATTGAACCTCAATTATCTATTTAATTTTGATGTTAGCATCACACAGCATTCAGAAAACAAGATTTACTCTCTTTTTTCCGTTGAAGAAATGACACCAATCCTTCTTATACAAATTCATTAGCTTGCAATTTCAAATACACTATCCAAAGCTTTTTAGTTTCCCCAACTAAGAAAAGAAAATCCAAACTATCACCAAACTCACCCACAGCATTCAACATACAAGATTTACTCTCTTTATTTTTTTCATTGAAGAAATGACACCAATCCTTCTTACACAAATTCATGACCTTGCAATTTAAAATACACTATCCAAAGCTATTCAGTTCCCCCAACTAAAAAAAAAAAAATCCAAACTATTCCCAAACTCACCCATAGCATTCAACATATATAAGCATAAATAAAATAAGGAAAAATAGAAATAGACTCACATAATTCCATTTGTTCTTCCATTTTTCACAGGTAATAGGCGTTGAATGGAATGAAGCAACATGGGTTGTTGCAACAGTAGCCGTTGGTTCTGAAGGTAAGAAAGCTGAAACCAATGAATTCTTGAGTACCAACACGTTTCGCCATCTGGATATTTGCATAATCAAGGAAATCAACACAAAACCAACTCTCTCCAAAACTCGAAAAACCAATCAATTAGGCTGTTCTTAGACAGAAGAACCTTTGGGTTTTTTACTTTTTTTGGTGGTAAAAAAGAATTGGTTTAAGCTTTTAAAGTGAGAAAAAGGTGAACTCTTTTCGCGGTGGTGGAAGAGAGCGAAGGCCGAGATGGTCTCTTCTCCTTCCCTTGTTGGATGGAAGTCGGAAGTTGAAACATGTGTTCAAACTTCGACATAAGGCATTTTGGGTTGGAAACCTTACTGGTTTCTGGGCCACTGGCGGAGAAGCCTCGGAGAGGAATAAGTGAAGCCCCAAGTGAAGGGAACTCAACCCAAGCCCATCCCAGCAAGTAAAAATTGGGTTTCGGATTGATTTGACTATGATAATTGATAATACACACACGAAATCCGAGACAAATTCTTATATGTTATGTTACAGATTTGATGATGAAAAAAGAAAAAGAGAGGCATAATGTTGTTGAGGCACTGAAATAATATTGCTGTACGTGGGGCAAGCAGACCAGCATGAGCATATGAATTTATCATTACTTTGGATGGTCAATAATTTTTACATTTTGTCATTAAAAAGAAGCCATTTATTCTTTTTGTAAGATAGGGAATTATTGGGGAGAAAAAAAAAAGAGTAGGAGAGGGTATATTTACCATCACGGTGATACTTACTGATCAGATAAAACTTATATATATACCCCATATTCATTTAATTTAACCTTCATGAATATATTAAATAATAAACTTAATTAACATACGATCAACGGAAACTAAATGACAAGCAAAATTTTAGTGTGCCACAAATGTGGTAATCATAGTCTCACATATATTTTGAATCTCATTTCAAGCTATAAATACAATATACACTTTTACATATTCAATTATTGTCATTTAGGTTGGGCAAATTAAGTACAATGACTGTCTTAATAAGTACTTTTAGTTTCATAGCTGCCTAATGATTAAGACAGCTAATCAACCAAGATTTCTCATCATCAACCTAATCGCATTCTAGTTATTTTGAGAAAAAAAAAAAAGCTATAGGAATAATAAATATGTAAGTGACTCACAATTTTGATTTTGAAGAGACATCTTATAAAATAGAATTCAAAGTAGCGCCAACATGGCAACATGGGCCAACCCCTTTCCTTACAATCTCTCCATTAATTTGAGATTAGGAAGTAGATTGGATTAATGGATAGCAGATATAGACATGTAGGAGAGAGTGGAGTAATGACCAACACGATGAAATTATAGGCACACCACATTCTTCCTTAATTGCCTTTATGAATATCCTTGAATAAAGGAATTATCATTTAAGCATATTCGGCCGCCATGGAAACAAAGACAACTCTGTTTAGATTCTGGCTCTCTGTTTTCTTTCATTTCCTCATTGTTATCATTTCATTCATATCCCGAATCATGGATTTGGCAATCCTGAAACGCGGCTTCCCCTAAAGTTGGAACTGTCTTTAGTTTTAAATTTTAGGCTTGGGAACTGTATCCGTTTTTTAAGCATAATTCTGTCACTTAGATTGTTTCTAGATGGCTCAAAACTGCAGTCCTAGCCGGCGCCATGAAAAGTGATCAAACTGTATCGGTATCCTATAATGCCTTTTCATATTCTGTTAATGGTTAAGCTAAATTTATATAATTGATCAGTCATTGTATAAATCTTTTTAATTCTCCGTTATTTTTATGGTTTACATCAAGTAACATGTAACTGACCATTAATTGAATCATGTTGTCGCTTGTCATTGTAGAATAACTATTCCAATGTGTTAAATATTTTTCCAGGACAGAGGAGTCCAAGCACACATGGAATATAAACATGTAAAAACCTTGACAGAGACTACAGAACCCCACCTGGCTGTTTTACAGCCCTTTTCCATTGCATGCCATGGTCCATTCTCCTTACACATTACGCCCCCATCCATGGCTGAATAAAGAGCCAGCTCCTCAATTTCTTCCATGGTCCACAAAAAAAGAATAAAAAGGAAACATTAAAGAACCCCACCAGCTGTTTCGGTTCCTATTCCAAAATTTGATAAGCTTTTGTTCAAGAAAACCAAAATCTTTTTCTCTTAATCAACGCCACAACAAATTGGAGTCATCAAAAGCTTTACAGCTTGAGACACCTGTTATTATTATTCTCTATGTAATACTTAATATATATAGGAACGATTTGTTGGAACGTTAATAAAATCTTTCAATCTGTTTCCGTTGTCGGTTTGTCTATTTTCTGTCTCTTTGCATTCTTTCTTTACCGCAGAACATTTGTCGGAAGCCAACAAACCTTAAAAACTTCCTTTCATTTCCCTATAAATCTCCTAAATCTTCTCTTTCTCTCTTCTTCAATCTTCCTCTCACTCACCCAAAACAGGTGAAAAAACAGAGAAAGAAACAACATTAAAGAAGAACGTTTTAGAATAGGCTCTTTGGCTTTTGAAAGCTGATCAGGAAAACATGGGAGGTTGCGCTACTAAGCCTAAGGTTTTGAAGGGTGACGAAAGGGAGGTCCCGGCTCCGATACCTCCTCCTGAGCCGACGAAAGAGCCTGTTCCTGCGGTTCCTGAAGCAAAGGAGGCTGCTGATGTTGTTGCTCAAGGTGAAAAGAAGGTGGAAGATGATCATGCTAACGAGGTTGTTAACGCCAAGGACGTTGGTGAGGCCGAGGATGTTGCTGATGATGACAAGGTCGATGATCAAGCAAATAAGCGACAATCTCTTAGCAACTTGTTCAAAGAGGTATCAGTTTCTATTAAATAATTTTTATGCTAAAATTTGAAGAAAGGGTTTAATCTTTATCGGCATTTAAAAATTATTACTTTTGTTAGCAAAGGTTGTATTGGTTTTGGGTGCGATAGAGGTAACATTCATGACTAAAATGCCATTTTAGATATCACAGAAACTGCATTTTATGCAAAATCCAATGGCTAGTATTGTACAAAATTTTGAACATGGAATTCTTGATCTTTTGATTCCAGGGTCGTTATTAATTGTGAAGCATATGTTAATTGCCTTGATGTTTCTGTGCATTTTGATTATTGATTGATGTGATTTCGTTAAAACTGGATGATGGGATCATTCATCTGAATACGGTCATATCTGTCTTTTCAATATGTTGGTTGTTTAACGACATCTTTATCCTGGCTCTTTCATTGAATTATAACTGGTTTTGTACCCTTTGGTTGGTGAGTGAAGGTAAGATTGAAAAAGAAGATAAAAACAATTCCTGGCATAGCTCCTGTTGATTTGGTGTATTGACTGTCAAGATTCAATAATCTAGTTATATTGTAATTGGCCCCTTGTCTTTTTGCTTGTCTGAGAGTCTGCATCAATCATTTACTATTCCTAACACATCGTGGTGAATTTTACAATGTAAACTTTTGGCCACCTCTTTTAGCACCAAAGTTGATGGACGCTAGATACTTTGAACTGGAGAATCAGTATAGTAATATCTTGACCATTCAATCCAATCCATCAAGTCTCGGTTTTATCAGAAATAAACATGTTTTGACTTATGGACCTACCAATTGTTTGTTTCCTCTTTATTTTGTTGCATCATTATGTGGTTGTTTCAATGTTTTCTACGCGGGGTAGAATAGTAGCATCCTTTGCCTTCTATATCTTTCCTCTTTTCCATGTCCCCATCTGCGCGTGCAAGAGGGGTTTGATTAATTTTCCTGTACAGAAATATGAATTATTACTGCAAGAGAAAGATGAGTTTTGCACAAAAGGTTTTCTGTAGTTCCATCATGATGTATCAGTGAATTTCAGGCATCGGTTGTTTACATTGATTTCAAATTACAAGGGTGCATTTAAATTCTTGACACTATGAAAACTGAGAAATGTCTTAAACTACTTGTGTTAAATACATTGTTTTTGATCCAAGATCTTTGATAAATGAATGTTTTCATAAAATTTTACCATGACGGAATTGGAAACTAGTATAGAGCAGCATCTTAGGTGGTGGGCAACCATGTAAATTGATGGTTTAGGGGATGCACCGATCCATTAAGGACCTCCTGTACTGGTTTGTTCTGTTCATTTGGATAATGTACTTAATCTAAACTTATTGATGAAGTTACAGGTGCTTTAGTTTTCTGTCATTGTGGAATGTATCTGAAACTCTTTCTAGACATTCTTATCTGTAAAGCTTCATCACTGTGCATCCTTGATTCCCTGTGTTTGTATTCTTCTCAATAATGCTGCACTGTGGATCCAAACTCCAAAGAATGACAATTATAAGAAAATAGTTGATTTTATTTTCAGCAAACTAGTGGTTCATAATTTTCCAATAAATATATGCAAAGAAGAATTCAAGTGGTTCTGCTACTTGGGCTGATGAAAACAGTTTCATCATATTGGGAGGATTAAGGTTCTGTCAAAGAGAATAACCAGTGGGAACTTAGTCAACTTTTAGGATTGGTTGAACAATATTTCAAAGCAATAATAAGGGGGATTATTTTACTCTTCACCACTTTATTTGTGTGATTAAGGATATTAACTGCAACTTCTCCAATGGTTCATTCATGGATTACTAGATGAAAATGCTGCATCATTTGACATCATTAAATGAATTTTATTTGATAGACTTTAGCAACTGCAGGTTTTTGATTTTTTTAACATAGTTTTAACTTGTATTATTTGCAGAATGAAAAGAAGGGTTCAGCTGAGAGTGATGACTCACCATCAGAGGCAGCGGAACAAGTATCACCGGAACTAGTGCAACGAGAATCAGTGGAGCCTGTGAAAACAGAACTAGTGGAGCCAGTGAAACAAGAATCAGTGGAGCCTGTGCAAACAGAATCGGTGGAGCCTGAGGAACTAGAATCAGTGGAGCCAGTGAAACAAGCATCATCAGAGACTGAGAAACTTAGAGAGGCTTCTGTGGCTATGGATTTGGAGACCGCGAAACCTGTGAACCCAATTGAGGGGACCTCCAGTCCAGAATCTGTTGTAGCTCCTGGAAAGATGGAAACAGAACAATCAATTGAAGCCACGCCAGCAACTGAGCCAGCAGCAGCAGCGCATGTGTCCTAAACACAAAACAAGGAAACATCAGCTGACTGTAAGGAAGAGAAGACACAATTAGCAAAGTGAAGTTTCAACAATAATATCGAATTAAGCGTGATAAAGGAAGAATGAAAAAGACTGATATGAGGTAAGGCTGCTGGAGAGATTGTTGTAGAAATCAAGCAATTCACTTGGTTTAGGTGGCTTTTGAGTGGACTTGTTTCTATCGTTCTGAAATATTTTTTTTTCTTATAATCTGAGTTTGTTTTTGATATTCTCTACTTGTTCATATGGACATGTGGGATTTTTAGATTGAATATATGAGCATAGTTTCTGTACTGCACTAGAACTCTGTTTTGCTACTATGATAAAATTATGAGTTTCTAGCAGCTATAAGCACCAGTGCATTACTAAAAAACCGAAGCAAAAAGCTGACAGGTGCTTAAACAAACATGTTGAGATTGATTTCCATTTTGTAAGGGAGAAGGCTGCTTGTAAACATCGGCTACTTCTTTTGATTTTTGTAAGATCCAGTTGCAATTGTACTCAGGCCATACTCTCGAGTCACCACTTTATTTAGTTCATGTTTAATCAATTGAGCTTGAGAGGCCCTGTTATCCGCAGCTGCAAAATCTATGAGTATTAACCAGAAATATTGATTGTGAAAGATTCAAATGTAGCAGAGGAATAAAGGCAGCAGAATTGCTACCTAGGAAGCTGCTACTTGTAAATAGCAGAGGAGGAATCAGGGTTGAAGAAACGCACCGTATCATTAGAAGCTGAAAAGGGGTCTATACTGCACCCTTTCAATGACACGAAAAAGATGTAATTAATTTCTTTTGATAGCCGTTATGTTAGTTAACAGGTAGATTAGTTATAGCTCTTTGTCTTTGTCCTCTTTTGTAGCCTGCACATATTTACAAACTTTCTTGTAATTCTTTTCATGGAATGAATCAAAATACCATTCCCCAAAATATTACCTGCACCTTCAACCATATTTTGTCAATGAGATAAGAGTCTTGTTTATCAAGTTTCTGTTGATAACACTATATATTGTCGTATTCAATTATTTAGCTTTCACAATTTTTTCGTGCAATCATGTAAATTGGATGAATAAAATAAGACTAGCCGCCCAAGTGTGCTTCCAGCGGGCCAATTCCTTTAAAGAAATTCTCAGTCAGGTGTATAGAGACAGTATGAAAAACAATAACAGATATTAAAAACTATACTACAACTAAATATGATTCTACTTATAATTATTATTGTAATGTTATCATAGCACATGTGAGTAATAAGACTACCTTTGTTATTGATAGAAATTGATTATATTGAATTTCAAATGCAACTGTGGCTAATTTAAGGCCTTAAAATATATTGATTGTATTGACTTTAATTTGTTTTTTATAATATTTCTATTTTTTAAACTTATTTTGGGTTTTTTCTTTCCGCATTAATGATGAAGAAAAAAAATAAAACAACCCAACATATATTGGGCCCTCTAATAGATGAAAATGGTAGGTTAGAACCTCGTATGTGCAAATCGGGATAAATAGCCCGAAAACCAAAATATTTAGAAAACGAAAATGATAGAGAAAGAAGGATGAATGTTGAACACCAGGGAATGAAATTGCCAACACACTGCCAGATTCTAAAGCTTGATCAGTATTAATGTATTATTTCCTCTTGGGTTTGGTGAAAATAGTAATATATTAAATGTAAAAGCAATTTCTAAATTGATCCCTTATCAGTATTTGAAATACCCGTTAATCAAACTTTTTAATTTAATAAAAAGTAGATATCTTTTTACAGTATCCAGATCGATGAAATGCCAATAAATGTTACGGATTGCATTATATGTTTTGTGTGATCGGGCTGTACACTACGTGGAGGTGGATTGACGCAAGGCAGAGCCTTTGGTGACAAGAAACACTAACTATCCAAAAAGATTGTGATTTTCTTTGCTTTTCCTCTCTGTTTAATGCGTTTGGATTTGCTCAGGAAAAACGTAGATATCCTTTTCACAAAGTAGATATCTTATTTTTAAAAGCATGGGGTTTGGATTTTCATTTTCCAATAAAATGGATTCTGCAGATCGCAAACAAATACTGCACAGCAACACATGGCCCTAGAAGGACAGTGACTTCTCTCCTGGTGCTTGCAAGTCCATGCATGCAGCACACGTAACATCTGAGGGTGGAAAATACTTTCCAATGGTTCACATTTTTCTTAATTAGTTTCCTCTGGAAACAGTGGTATGGCACACTGTTTCCTTTTCTTTTTTTTTTTTTTAATTTTTCTGTGTAGTTGGTATATAAGAACACTATTGGCAATAAAAGAAACAGAGAGAGAACTTATGCTATCGTATTCTCAAGTTTCTTCGAACATTAGATATGGGTGCGAATATTTGTAATCCTGGTCAGGGGCTTAAACCAGTGGTAATTATGTTGCTGGTTCAAGCAGTACTTGCTGGCGTAAATGTAATGTATAAGTTGGCTGTGGTTGACGGTATGAGCATGAGGGTACTCATCTCTTACAGATTTATCTTTGCCACTGTTTTTATACTTCCACTTGCTTTGATATTAGAGAGGTAATTATTATATATAGTTTTTCTTACATTTTTTTTACCTATTTGTATTTTTTTTACCCATTTTAGTGTCATTTGCATGTGAACACAATTTTCATTGTCTTAGTACTACTTACTGAGGAAAAAATTAATCAGTGTTTGAATTATTGTAATCTTTCTGTCGTTAAATATTTGCCTTCCGTATATTTTATAAAACTTAAAAAAATTTATTTTAGTATATTTTATATTAAAAATTCTTAATTATTTATATTATTGATACCCAATATTACATAAAAAAATGAAAAAAAAATTGAACTGTAAAAAATAGCATTACTTGTTAAAAAAAAGAGAGAAAAAGCATCCCAAACAAAAAAGATACATAAAGATAATGGGACAGAGTAAGTATTTAACTTTTGTCAAATTATAAATGAATTTTGAAAATTTATGAATTCATTTTTGGGAGTTAAGTGAGCAATGTTATTGTAAATCTAAGAAAACCTACAAAGGATACTTAATGATTGCTATGAGTTGACTTAATTTTGTCGTCCATGCTTTATGATGATAGTATTAATATTAACAAGAACAACATTTGCAGTTGGACCGCATTTCAATGTTTGTGTATTTCAATTCTATATTTACAGGAAGAGTAAAGCAAAATTGACATGGAAGATAGCTTTTCAAGGATTTTTATCGGGTCTGTTTGGGTAAGATCATGACATTAAAACTGGTTTTAATGGAAATTAATTAATATTTTAAGGGAAAAAAAAAGAATGTGTAACTCATCTATTTGAGAAAATGATTTTTTATTTTTTCCTGGCCCTTAGAGCTTAAGAAATACTAACAATATGCAGTTTAAATTTGGCTGCAGGGGAGCACTAGGGCAGAATTTATTCATTGGAAGCTTGGCCCTAACATCAGCAACATTTGCGACAGCCATGTCCAACCTAATTCCTGCTGCTACTTTCATTTTAGTGATTACTTTAAGGTGATTTTTCCAAGACTTCAGGGAGATTCTATTTTAATCTTTATTAACCAAAAAAGTATTAGCCAATATAGTTCAAGATCATTTGTGGAAAGAAACCATTAGTTGATAAAATCAACAAAAATCGTGATGTTACTTGTCAAGTATAAAGGAATAGTCGTCCAAGATGGGTTGACTAAAGGGTTTTGTTGAGTTTAAGCAACCATTTACTCATAGTTTACTTTGATAAGGAGATATGAATATATATATATATATATATATTTGAGATTCTTTGGTTCACGCAAGGCTAAATCATGGATTTACAATTAATATTCGGGGGATGTGCTCATCACTAAAATTGTTATGTCTACAGTTTGCACCGTGTTGTAAAAATTAAAAAATAGATTTAATTTCCTTAATTTTCCCTTCTATCAGGTTGGAGAGATTGGCAATCAGAACGTTGGCAGGTACGGCCAAGCTGGCTGGCACTGTCTTGAGCATAGGTGGAGCAATGGTTCTTACCTTTTACAAAGGGCGAGAGATTAGCCTTTGGTCAACCAGTATAAACTTGGCTAAACATGACGAGGATCATCTCACAGAGGCACACCCTTCGCTTCGTAATCAAGTTCTAGGTTCAGTGCTGGGTCTACTAGCCTGCTTATGTTATGCAATTTGGTACATAATTCAAGTCAGTTTCTAGTAGCTTTCATCTGATATAATTAATGACTGTAAATGGCCTTCAACTACTTTTTGCAAGGTATTTACTGATGGCTAGGTATTGTTTTTCACAGGCCAAGATGAATGAAAGTTATCCTTGCAAATATTCAAGTACAGCTCTAATGAGCATCACAGCATCAATTCAGGCGACAATTTACGCTATAATTACTGACAGGAACTGGTCTGCATGGAAGCTTGGTTGGAATATTAGGCTTTTCGCAGTTTTTTACACGGTAAAAGTAGTTCCGAGGCAAAGATGTTGTTAACGCAAGTAACACAGAGCCTACTATGATCTAGTTCGGCATTAATTAAGATTGCTATAAATTAAGATCTGAAAGTGATTACAACCATGAGATTGAGGACATTGCATTTGTGATCAAACATATACATACATATATAATTATTTTTATCTTTTCTCCTAACAAAATCCCCTCTGGCTCTACTCTTGTTTCAAGGGCTCCATCTCTACAGGACTGATGATTGTGGTTTTGACTTGGTGTATACGGTTGAAGGGGCCATTATTTGTATCCATCTTCAACCCTTTTGCGCTTATATATGTTGCCATCGTCGGATCCTTGATCTTAAACGAGAGGCTACATCTAGGAAGGTTTTCAACTCGAATTGAATTTAAACTAGAATTATTTCTTTATAAATTTCATTTTTCTTGCAATTCTATTTAATTAGATAACATGTTTCCTTTTCATGTAACAGCATTATAGGTTCAGTGCTGATAATGGGAGGAGTATATGTTGCATTATGGGGAAAAACTAAAGAGATCAAGAATTCAGTGCAATTAGTACGTTCAATAGACTCTGAAGCCGAGGAAGTTACTTTAAATTAATTTCATGATATTAATTAAATTTATAATAACATTATAAGTTAATTTCATATTACTTAGATGTTAAAGTTTCGGAAAGTTACCATAAGTTAATTATATGGTATATGCCGATGGCCGGATAATTACTTGTGTAAAAATGATAGCTATTTGCATATATACAACTTAAAAAAGTTAATTTCGAATTCTTTTTTTTTAAATGAAAAAAATAGTTATTTACTTTTGGGCTCATTATGCATTATAAATGAAGAGATAACACAGCCCAAAACAATGGGGCCTATAAAACACATATGAATTTGAGAAAAAGTCCATTATTGAAAAAATTAAAAAAATATGTAAGTTAGAACACAGCCATATAATTGGGCTATCACAATTCGTGTAAGCCCAAAATATCTTATCTTTTGCATGTAAGTTAGAACACAGCCATTAATGATTTAGGATTCAAACCCAAGTATGTCTTGGACACCCAAAAAAAAAAAAAACAAATAGTCTCTCCAACTAAACCTCAAATCAGGAAATAATTAAAATTTAAAAACTAAGCATGCTAAAAGAAATTAAAAAAATATAGTCCAGAGAAAAGTAATTTGCATTTAATAAGACCATATTCAAATAGAATGTATAGGATTTCAAATTTTTTACGTGTCTGCAGCATTTGTAATAATTAAAAAAGTAGGAAAGATTTATTAGACAACTACTTTGGGTTTAAAGCCAACAAAAGGAACAACTGAATTGGATTAGAATTTAGCTAATTAGAGCCACTAATATGAAAATTTACTAAGAAATTGTAATTGTAAAAGTTGGGCTCTCAAGAATACACACACTCAAATATATACTACTAATTGATAATAAATCAACTACTCCTTTCATTCCATTTTGTTTCTTTATTTTTTTTGAATATCTTAAAATTATTTTTTTTAATATTCAATATTTTTTCTTTTTTTATTTTTCATATTTTTTACTTTTTAAAATTAAAAATTTTAATACTTCAGCTTTATAATAAATTATTTAAAAGTTTTAATATAAATTACATAGAGAACCATAATTTTTAATTTTCATGAAAATCAAATATATATAAAAAAGCACTTGAACATTTGACTCATTAATTGATGCATGATCTTTTTACTTAAGAGTAAAATTATTATCCTAATAATGTGAGTCTACCGTGATCTTGAAGAATACCAACTATAAAGATAGACTTGCAAGTACAGTTAATTGTTAAAAGTTTCAATTATTCTCACCTGCCATTATATAATTGGATGCTTCCAAAAAACAAACTCCAACATGTCACATTATGGATCAAATTATTTCGTTACATACACACACACATATATATATATATATATAAATTGATTAAAAATAAAGATATTAATTTGGAAACAAATGCTCATACACATTAATCTGTAGTCAAGTTGGTAATAGAGTTGACTACTTTATGCAGCCATTAGTATAGGAGTCGAGGAGTTTTTAATTTTGTTAGATATTTTTAGCTTTTTATTCTTTGTTGAACTCTTATAAAAAAAAATGAAAAAACTTAAGATCAAGACAAAGAAAAGTCTTTTCGTCAACAAAATTTAAAACTTGTTATGACATGCAAGTTTTGGGAGCTAATACAATTTTTGCTTTAAAAAAAAAAAAACAAAGAAAAGTCACCATGAAAAGCAACAGGAAACAAGATGGAATCAGAATCCAATAGAATATGAAACAAAATCATGAACAAGACAAACAAGACGTACAGGTTTGTTTGTTGAATTTCTTTTAAAATCCACCAAGTTGCGAAGCAACAGGACTTAAGCTAAAATATCTTCTCATGTGAATTACTTCGAACCAAGTTCAATGCTCTTCCCCTCACCACGGTTGAGCTTGAAGCTGCAAATTCTTTTCTGTCAAGTTTCTCAAGTTTGTGTTAGGTTGATAAATAGAAGGCTTGTAAACTTATTGCGTGATAATGTACTAAATATTATAAAAACTATAAACTAGCCGTCCAAATGTTTTAAAGGCCAATCCTTTGAAAATATTTGTCGTTTCTTTTGTATGGTCAAAGAATGAAAATTAAACAATAATGAAAGGGATATTAAAAATATTTTCCATTAATCCTTAACATTATTCTTTCTGTTTGAAATCAAAGAGCAGTTCCAATACGCCTTTGATGAAAGAACAAGAGAATTTTACGCTTTCACAAGTTTGTTCGGACATAAAATGAGTAAGAATTTTTCTGATCTTCTTCGGGGTCTTAAAGCAGTGATACTTATATTGGTGGTTCAAGCAGCACTTGGTGGAGTAATTGTCTTCTATAAGTTGGCTGTGATTTACGGTATGAGCGTGAGGGTATTGGTCGCTTACAGATTTATCTTCGCCACTGCTTGTGTAATTCCACTTGCATTGATATTAGAAAGGTAACGTTTACATGTTTTTCTCACTTACTGTTCTCTGTTTCTTTCCTTTTCCCTAGGGTTTTGACTGGTAGGGAGGACAGAAAGGAGGGAGAATATGGGAAAAATTTCTAATGATTAAGTTTCATAATCACACATTTGCTATTTGTAACTCAACTTTTGGATTAAAGCTATTTTCTTTTAACTTAAATTGTATTTAACCCGTATATTTAGATATTGACAAGAAGACCATATATACATTTACAGCAGCTGATCTTGTGTATATTTCGATCCTGCATTTTACAGGAAGAGTAAAGCAAAACTGACATGGAAGATAGTGTTCCAAGGGTTTTTATCGGGGCTATTTGGGTAAGAATAACATGCAATGATCATTTTCTTTCAATGAATTTATCCAACACTTTGATCTTTCTGAAATTCCCAGAAGAAGGTATCAGCTACATATCTTTGTTGATAGAGACTTGGATGGTGAGATTAAAAATGGTTTTTAAAAATTATATTTTGAAAGGAAAAAAAATTGCCTTGCTCATCTTTGAGCAAAGGTTTTTTTTATTTTTTTTTAAAAGCTTAAGAATCAATCCTTACGAGGTCAAATGTATGAAGTTTAAATATTGTTGCAGGGGAGCACTGGGACCGAATTTATTCATTGCGAGCTTATCCTTAACATCTGCAACATTTGCTACAGCCGTGTCCAACTTAGTTCCTGTTGCTACATTAATCTTGGCCGTTATCTTAAGGTTCTTTTCTTATAATCTCAGGGGAGTTGTTCTATTTTATTCTTAATTTATTCTATAAATTTTAAAAGGACAAAATGATTATATATATACATATATGTATAAAATCAGTCAAGTTAATTCAATGCTTGTAGAATGAAATTATTAGTAAATAACATTAATAGATACCATGATGTTAATTAATTACTCAATACATGTCAAACACACTTGAAAAATTTAAGAAGGTTGACTCAATATTGGTCTTATGGAGTTTAAGTTTTCAAGATGCATTTGTATTCTCTTTCCAGGTGTGCAGCATGTGTCTCCTGGATGCAGAATGCGTCTCTCTTATGCGGAATGTGGTTTTTGTGATGTATTCGTACAGCTGGGAATGTTTTTCTGAGGCCCTGGTTGATTTCTCCCCAGCCAGGGCACTTGGCTTTCCCAAGCAAGGCAATAATATATCTAATTTTCGAAAAACAAAAAAACTGTTTTCAACATGTAATCAGGATTGTCCTGACCCATACCATGAACACCTCTGGTCAACTGTTAAAGAAAAAAAAATTGAGACTGAGACCGTAAACAAATTTAATGCATACTCACTTGTGAACATTGAATTAAATTTCCTACTTTCAAAGATTTCCTTCCACTCTTTCAGGTTGGAGAGATTGGGAATAAGAACGCTGGCAGGACAAGCCAAGTTGGTGGGCATTTTCTTGAGCATAGGTGGAGCAATGATTATTACATTTTACAAAGGAGAAGAGATAAACCTTTGGTCAACCAACATAAACCTAGCCAAACATAGTGGAGATCATGCAACAGGGAAACATGCTTTGCTTGGCAATCAAGTGTTAGGTTCCTTGTTGGCTCTAGCGGCGTGCGTATCTTTTGCAATTTGGTATATAATTCAAGTACGTAATTTCCCAGTAAAATTTACCCATCTTACTATTATTTGAATATATTAATTACGGCTGCCATGGATTGCTTTAATTTGACAATGACAGGCCAAGATCAGTGAAAATTATCCTTACATATATTCAAGCACCGTTTTGATGTGCATCGCAGCATCAGTTCAAGCAACAATTTATACCATAATTGCTGAGAGGAACTGGTCTGCGTGGAAGCTTGGCTGGAATATTAGGCTTCTAAGCGCTGTTTACACGGTAAAGACAGTTTCCATCAATTATATATATGACCATTTTCTCTTGATAAAATTCTGTCTTAACTCTTTGACTCTTGTTCTAAGGGAGCCATTGGTACAGCACTAACGGTTGTTCTTATGACTTGGTGCTTGCGGTCGAGGGGGCCATTATTTGTATCCATCTTCAACCCTTTTACACTAGTATTTGTAGCCATTGTTGGATCTTTGATCTTGAACGAGAGGCTAAATATAGGAAGGTTAATTTTAAACTCGAATTCAACTTGAGCTAGCATTTCTTTACAATTATATTTTCATTTTCCTTGCGTCTTTATTTATATGGAGCGCATGTTTCCATGTAGCAGCATTTTAGGTTCAGTGCTCATAGTTATAGGGGTATATGTTGTATTATGGGGAAAAGCCAAGGAGAAGAAGGGTTCGGCCCAACTAGCACTACAAGAATATCCAGCGGAGTCTGAGGCCGTGGACGCTGTCATAAGTTCATTGCAAGATACGCATCAAATTTGTGATACAAACAAGGAATCTCATCCTAGTTAATGATTAGATAGAAATGTTACATTTTGGGGATTAGAAAAAATGGCTGTTTTATTTCCAGTGCTAAGTAAGATACATATAGAGTATTATATGTTATACATCAAATCATGATGATAACTCCAAACAATTTTTGTAAACTTATTACAAGTTTTTTTAGATTAAGAGATGAAGAATTTAGTGCAACTAGCACGTCTAATCGAGTTTGAAGCTGTGAAAGTTCCTTTGAATTAATTTAATTATACTAATTAAATTTATATTAATGCTACAATTTAAAATTTTAAAAAATTACCATAAGTTAATTATAAGATACCGATCAAATTTGTAATACTATTAGTCAATTTTATGATACTAATGATCAAAGATATGTTACCATTTTTTCATTGCAGAAACCTTTTTTGGATGTAATTGCATTTTTAAATACTAAGGGAGACATATATAGTATATGCTGATGATTGGATAATTACTTGAGTAAAAATGATAGTTACTTGCATTCCAATATTTGATTTACAAAAGTTGATTTCAATTCTCTTATTTTTAAAATCAACAAAAATAATAGTTATTTATTTTTATTAATTACTTTTGGGCTCATTTTGCATTAGAGATGAAAGAATAACACAACCCAAAATAAATGGGGCCTATAAGGCACATATGAAAAGAAATTGAGATAAAGTCCATTATTAAAAAAATGAAAAAAAAAATCGGAAGTTGGAACACCAACCAGACAAATGGACTATCAAACTTCGTGCAAGCCCAAAACAATCTTATATTTTGCAAGATAATCCCAAACTTTTTAGTGACTTAGGACTCAAACCCAAGTATATATTTGAAACTTAAAAAAAATGCAATTAGAGTCTCTGACTAAACTTGAAACCAGGAAATAATTAAAAGTTAAAAACTAAGCAGTGCTAAAAGAAATAAAAGCAAATATAGTCCAGAGAAAAGAAATTTGCATACTAAAAGACCGTACTCAAATAGTGTGTGTGATACTTGTGTGGTAGTAATATTTGTAATACTTAAAAAAGTAGAAAGATTTGGGTTTAAAGCCAATAAAAGGAACAATTGAATTAGATTAAGATTTAGCTAATTAGGGCCACTAATATGAAAAATTGCTAAGAACTTGTAATTGTAAAAATTGGGTTCTCAAGAATTTATAGTTACAATATATACTAATAATTGACAATAAATCAGCTACACCTTTCATTCCATTTTCCTCTTTATATTTTTTGAATATCTTAAAATTATGTTTTTTTTATATTTAATATTTCTACTTTTTGAAATTAAAAATTCTAATGCATCAATTTTATAATAAAAATTAATGATTTTAATATAAATTACATAAAGAATAAAAAATTTTAATTTTGCTTAAAATCAAATATAAAGAAAGATTTTGAAAAGGATGAAGTATTAATTTTCTTTTATAAAAAATGATTAAAGATTTCCGATGTATGTTACTAACAAACGTTTGTAACATTAGATTATTATTCTAATTAATTATGTCCAGAAATTTATTCTAATTAATTGCTAGCTGTCCAATTGGTTGAAAAATTTTATCCGTCAATCATTTATGATATAATATTGAATAATGTGAAAATGAAACTTCTTTTTATATTATATAAAATATATCTTTTTATTAATCAATAATTATAATTGAGAATTACTATCGACAAAAGTTGATTTAAAATAAAAAATATTAATTTTGAAACAAATCCTCATACGACACAAGATTAGAAGGGGCAGAGTCCAAAGATCCAACTATCCAGTAACCCAAGTTCAGCTGAACCACATCCATTTGTCGTCAAGCTATTAATAGAGTTGATTGCTTTGTGCTGCCATTAATAGAGGAATTGAGGACTTTTAATTTTGATAGTTATTTTAAGCTTTTTGATTCTAAGTTGATAGCCGTTTAAATGTTCTAAAGGAAAATTCCAATGAAAAACTCTATCGTTACTTTTATATGGTCAAAGTATGAAAATTAAACAATAATGAAAGGGATATTAAAAATATTTTCCATTAATCCTCAACGTCATTCTTTCTGTTTGAAATCAAAGAGCGGTTCCACACCTTTGGTGAAAGAAGTAGAGAATCTTATGCTTTCTCAAGTTTGTTTGCACATAAAATGAGTAAGAATTTTTCTGATCTCCTCGGGGTCTTAAACCAGTGACACTTACGGTGTTGGTTCAAGCAGTACTTGGTGGAGTAATTGTCTTCTATAAGTTGGCTGTGATTGAAGGCATGAGCACAATGGTTTTGATCGCATACATATATATCTTCCCCACTGCTTGTGTAATTCCAGTTGCATTGGTATTAGAAAGGTAACTTTTGCATGTTGTTTTTCCTCGCTGTTCTCTGTTTCTTTCCTTTTCCAAGGGTTTTGATTGGTAGCGAGGACAGAAAGGACGAAGAATATTGGAAAAACTTCGAATGATTAAGTTTCATAATCACGCATTAGCTAGTAGCAACTGTAACCGAGTGTATCTAAATTAAGATAGTTTACCTTATCTTATCTTAGGAGGTATTATAAATACATCAACGTTGTAATGCAAAATGTGCCTTTATTCATTCAACTCTCCTTTATGATATTAGAACCTTGTGTCTCTCACGAGCATTTTCTTTCTTTTATGACATCGTCAAATTCCAACATCCCACACTATTAACATTTGCATTTGGGATTAAATATACTAACGTTTTAATGCAAAATGTGCTAGTATTCATTCAGTTTAATCCTTCATTCTACTCTCTTTTATATGGCAGATGTGATTGGGTAATATAATCACTTGTTTAGCAATGATAGTTATCTAAAGGAACCTTTAACAGTTAAAATTTGACGTCTTTTAATTATTTTTGAATTTAATATACATTAAAGATGAAAGAAAACACAAATCCCCCTAAAGCATATTTCAATGAAAGTTAGGACTCAACAATATAATTGGGAAATGAATCCCTACAACCTATATTAGGGGCAATCGAATGTTTCATGGATAAAATAAAACATGTTGACGTTGATCCGTTTGGTCGGGAAGAACGTTGCTGGATATAAGAAAATACCACTCAAAACTAGACTTAATATTCATAATAACCGACATAAAAAGACTTACTGTGTAGTCAAATTCTTAAGGAACAACAAGTAACAAGAACACAACGAACTTGGACTCTTGATACCTCAAAAAATAAATACAGCAGATAATTTTGGACGAAGGGCACACAACCCAAGTTGTATTGTAAGTTTGAACACAGCAGAATTACAAATATTAAGCCTAGTTGTGTCGGGATGTCCCTTCGTGTTCTATGGGAAGATTTTTGAATACCTTAGCGAACGTATGCAGATGTCTATAGGTTGATCTCACCTGCAACCAGGTTAATACCTTTGTTTTTCTTTCACTTATGCAGAGCATGGCATACAGATCATTGAAAGCCTGTAAATACGGCTCGCACTACTATTCCCCAAGGATAGTTTTTGTAATCTCTTACAATGAATGAAACTTCAGTCTTAGTTTTTAATATATACGTATATTTGTTGTACCATCTCCTGTAGGCGTGGAGGCTGAATCTTTATCTTATATAAGTTCGAACTTATATTTCCCTTCAACATTAGTATCGAAATTGATGATTACGATTAAAAGTTGTTATTGAAAGTAATATTAATCCTGCTTGCACAAGCATGTCTCTGGGTGTAGAACTTTTAATTTATTACAATTTTTATTTCGTCTGACATTACATTTGCGATCGACTTTAGCAATTGCAATTAAAAGATAACTCCAATTTCATTGTCAAACGTACTTTAAGTTGCACATGTACTCTGGACTTATATCTCCACTATGCTTTTAATGACTAGTTACTTTGAATCAAGCTCAATAATTTTCTTCCCAAAACGTTAAAGATAAAGCTTTTGCTTTACCTAGTTGCAGTCATGCTTATAAAGTTCCTGTGTAAGTTGACAGCTCTCTTTTGTATTCAAATATTTAACTTTGGAAACTTATCAACGAAAAATGTAAATATTATAAATACAACCAAACTAACTGCTCAAATGTTCAAAAGGCCACTCCTTTAAAAATTAGCTCTTACTTATAACTACTGTTTATCATTGACAAAAAGAAAAAGAAAAAAATGTATATCATTAGCTTTTGAGATTGGCAGAGAGAATTATTCTATTATTATTTTTAAAGTAGAGAACCTTTATATAATGGATAATATTATATATGGTATGTATCCTCCAGGTGAAACATATGCTTCAAATTGTAATAAACAATGTCTATAAACAGTTGAACGCATTTCCCAAACAGCTCATTCCACTCGATTAAGAGCAAGACAAAACAACTCATTTCCCCATAAGCTTGCCAAGTTGCAACTCATCAACTTTCATGGTCAAAAAGAATGATAATTGTTGAGATATTGACGGCAGTGGTGCCAGATTCATATCTAGGTATTTTAATAAGATATTTTATATCTCTTTCCAAGTTTTTTTGTTGGCAGTTGGCACGCATGTACCTGAGCTCATGGATGAATGCAGGATTAAAGATCAGTGGGGCCTAAATTATTTAAACAATAGTTTACTATTTCGTGTTAATTATAAAGCCAAAATTCGTAAAACATTGTTTAGATTTAGTTCAAGTGGTCAAAGTAATATGAAGTATTGATAAGTATCTTCAATTTGTCATCATGCTTCTCTCGCGAAGAAAAGGAAGTTCATAACACAAAATTTGAATAATTATATAACTATATAATTTAAGTATCAAGAGATTTTTGTTTTCATTTGAAAACACGTTATAATTTAAAGTTGAAAACAAATACGTATACATATAATATTTTAAATTTTATAGATAAATTAGAATGAAAATTTCGTACTTCTTCTAATTCGGCCACTCATCTATTAAATGTTACATTGTCAGGTATGAATATTTTCAGTGCTAGTAGTAAGTGACAAAGCACTGCACAACTTTTATAACATTAGGTGGCCAAAATGTAACTTTAAAAAACTAGATGACTGAACCAAAAACAAAAAAAAA